GGGCTGAGGGTGGTCGGTGGGGGGGAAATTTGGGGTTTTGGGGGTGCTTGGTGAATCTGGGGGGGTTTGTGGGGTGCGCCATGGATCTGTGGGGTGCAGGATGGGTTTGGGGTGGTGTGGGAAATCCGTGGGGTGCATGGCACGGTTGTGGGATGCGGGATGTGGTTTTGGGGTGCAGGGTAAATCTGTGGGGTGCGTGGTTCTCCTGCGGGGTGCTGGATGAGTTTGTGGGGTGCTTTCCGTGCCTTTGGGGTGCACGATGGATCTGTGGGGCACGTGGTGCCCTTATGGGGTGCACGGTGTGTTTGTGGGGTGCATGGCTCCCCCGTAGGGTGCAGCAGTAATTTCTGGGGTGCCTGGTAAACCTGTGGGGTGCACGATGGATCTGTGGGTTCCGTGACGTGTTTGTGGGGTGCACGGTCTGGTTTTGGGGTTCACGGATTCCCCGTGGGGTACAGGATGTGCCCATGGGGTTCCCGATAAATCTGTGGGGTGCACGGTGCGTTTGTGGGGGGCTGCAGGGTGGGGACCCCATCAGAGCAGGGCTGGCACCCCCCGCGTGCGTGGCTGGGACCCCGGGGGGGTGGGTGGGTCGGGGGGTGCCCGGCAGGCGCCCCATATTTCCCCCAGATTCTCCTAAACCCCAAATGTGGGAGGTGCTGGAGCTGCCATGGGTCTGGGAGGACATTTGGGGGCTCCCTGACCCCCAAATGTGCCCATTGCCACGACCCAGGGCTGCTGTGGGTGCAGAGGGAATCTGGGGCCCCCCTGACCCCCCAAGTGTGCCCATTCCTGGAGCCGGAGCTGCAGCGGTCTCTGGAGTGGTCACTGTGGGTGCAGAGGGGTTTTGGGGTTCCCCTGACTCCCCAAATGTGCTGTTCCCAGGAGCCAGAGCTGCAGCGGGCCCTGAAAGGGGTTGCTGTGTGTATGGGAAGAATTTTGGGGTCCCCCTGACCCTCCAAATGTGCCCATTCCTGGGAGCCAGAGCTGCAGCGGGCCCTGAAAGGGGTTGCTGTGTGTATGGGAAGGGTTTTGGGGTCCCCCTGACCCCCCAGTGTGTTCTTGCCAGGAGCTGGAGCTTCTGTGGGTCTGGGAGGGATTTTAGGGACCCCCTGACCCCCAAATGTGTCATACCCAGGAGCTGGAGCTGCAGTGTGTGTGCTGTGGGTGCAGAGGGGATTTGGGGTCCCCCCTGACCCCCCACATGTTCCGTTGCCAGCAGCCAGAGCTGGAGCAGGCCCTGAAGTGGGTGCTGTGGGTCCGGGAAGGGTTTTGGGGTCCCCCTGACCCCCCAAATGTGCCCATTGCCATGACCCAGAGCTGCTGTGGGTTTGGGGAGGGTTTTGGGGTCCCCCTGATCCCCCAGTTGTGCCATTGCCAGGAGCTGGAGCTGCAGTGTGTTTTGTGGGTTCAGAGGGGTTTTGGGGTCCCCCTGACCCCCCAAATGTGCCCATTCCTGGGAGCCAGAGCTGCAGCGGGCACTATGGGTGTGGGAAGGGTTTTGGGGTCCCCAATGTCCCGTCCCCAGCAGCTGGAGCTGCAGCGGGCTCTGTAGCGGTCACTGTGGGTGTAGGAAGGGTTTTGGGGTCCCCCTGACCCCCCAGTGTCCCCTCCCCAGGAGCCGGAGCTGCAGCGGGCGCTGGAGCGGGCGCTGCGGGTGCGGGAGGGCGCCCGGCGGCTGCTCCCCGCCTGCAGCCGGCCCGAGCAGGCGCTGGAGACCACCAAGACCCTGGTGCTGTGCGATGCCAGGGTGGTCGCGGCCGGGGGCGAGCTGCAGCGGCGCCAGGAGGCCCGGCTGAGGGGAGCCCGGCGGTGAGACACCCCAAAAATCGTCGCGGAGGGAATTGGGTAGCCCAAGGGATGGCCAAAGGTGGGGAGGGCACCCTATGGGACCCCCGAAGTGGAGAACCGCACAGGGGCACCCTAAAAACCGGGGAGGGTCCCCAAAGCTTAGGGAGGGGGTTTGGGGACACCATGGAAAGTGCGGCGGTGAGGGACACCCCAAAATCTGGGGGGATATAGGGGCGTTGTTGCAATGAGGGACACCCCAAAACCTGGAGGGACATGGGGGTTATGGCAGTGAGGGACACCCGAAAACTTGAGGGGACATGGGGGACACAGCAGTGAGGGACACCCGAAAACTTGAGGGGACATGGGGGAGACAGCAGTGATGGACACTCCAAAACCTGGGGGGGTATGGGGGACACAACAGGGAGGGACACCCCAAAATCTGGGGGGATATAGGGGCGTTGTTGCAATGAGGGACGCCCCAAAACCTGGAGGGGCATGGGGGTTACGGCAGTGAGGGACACCCGAAAACTTGAGGGGACATGGGGGAGACAGCAGTGATGGACACTCCAAAACCTGGGGGGGTATGGGGGACACAACAGGGAGGGACACCCCAAAATCTGGGGGGATATAGGGGCGTTGTTGCAATGAGGGACGCCCCAAAACCTGGAGGGGCATGGGGGTTACGGCAGTGAGGGACACCCGAAAACTTGAGGGGACATGGGGGACACAGCAGTGATGGACACTCCAAAACCTGGGGTGGTATGGGGGACACAACAGTGAGGGACACCCCAAAACCTGGGGTGGGATGGGGGACACGGCAGTGAGGGACACCCCAAAACCTGGGGTGGTATGGGGGACACAACAGGGAGGGACACCCCAAAACCTGGAGGGACATGGGGGTTATGGCAGCAAACATGGAGGGGAGCACCCCAAAACCTGGGGGGAGCTTTGGGGACACCTTAAACATAGAGGGGAGCACCCCAAAACCTGGGGCGAGCTTTGGGGACACCCCAAACATGGAGGGGAGCACCCCAAAACCTGGGGGGAGCTTTGGGGACACCCCAAACATGGAGGGGAGCACCCCAAAACCTGGGGGGAGCTTTGGGGACACCTCAAACATGGAGGGGAGCACCCCAAAACCTGGGGGGAGCTTTGGGGACACCCCAAACATGGAGGGGAGCACCCCAAAACCTGGGGGGAGCTTTGGGGACACCTCAAACATGGAGGGGAGCACCCCAAAACCTGGGGGGAGCTTTGCTGACCCCTCCCGTCCCCGCAGCCCCTCGGAGGGCGGGCCCGGGGCTGAGCGGGTGCCGTGCCGGGGCACCGTCTGCATCTCAGGTATGGGGGGGTCCCGGGGGGGTTCTGGGGAGGGGGAACCCCATCCTCCCTGCCTGCCCCCCCCGCGGCACCAGCTGCGTGTTGGGTGGGGGGTCTGGGGGCGTCTCAGGGGGTCTCACCCCCGTCCTGCCCTCCCCTCCCCCAGATCTGCGCATCCCGCTGATGTGGAAGGACACGGAGTACTTCAGGAACAAGGGGGGTGAGTGTTGGGGTGCCGGGGGTCCCCCCTCGCCCTGCGGTGCCCCCTGGGACCCCCTGACCCCCCCCGTGCCCCCCAGAGCTGCACCGCTGTGCCGTGTTCCTGCTGCTGCAGGTGGGGGCCGAGATCCACGACACCCCCACGGTGCTGGTGGACAGGACCCTCACCGACATCTGCTTCGAGGGAGCCGTGCTCTTGTGAGGGGGGGCACGGGACCCCCGGCACCCCCGCACCCTCCCCGGGACCCTGACACCCCCTGGGGGACCCTGACACCCCCCTAGGGGACCCCGATCCCTCCCACAGGATCCCCGGTGCCCTCACACCCCCCTGTGGGACCCTGACACCCCCCTTGACACCCCCATATTCCCCCGTGGGACCCCTGAGCCTTTCTGTGGGACCCCCAACCACCCCCACATCCACCCAGGGCCACTGCCACCCCCCGTGGGACCCTTGATCCTCCCCATGGGACCCCCGACACCCCCACACCCCTCCCTGGCACCCTGACACCCCCTGTGGGACCCTGACACCCCCCTATGAGACCCCTGATCCCTCCCACGGGACCCCTGGCACCCCCACACCCCCCTAGGGGACCCTGGCACCCCCTGTGGGACCCTGGTGCCCCCCTTGACATCCCCATGGGACCCCTGATCACCCCCAGAGACCCCTGATCACCCCCACACCCCTGCCCAGGGACCCTGCCACCCCCCAGGGCCACTGCCACCCTCCATGTGACCCCTGCCACCACCAACCCCCCCTTGGGGACCCCTCCCCTCTCCTGTCCCCGCTCCAGGGGACCCCAAATCCCCCTCTGACCCCTCCTGGGGGTGACCCCTGCCCCACCCTCCCTCTTCCCTGTCCCCGCAGTGTCCCCACAGTCCCTGGGGTGGCCCTGTGTCCCTGACCCCGCTGTGTCCCCGCAGTGTCCCCGCAGTGTCCCTGCAGTCCCGGGGGTGGCCCTGGGGGTGTCCCTGTGTCCCTGACCCCGCAGTGTCCCCGCAGGGTCCCTGCAGTCCCTTGGGTGTCCCCGCTGTGTCCCCGTGTCCCTGACCCTGCAGTGTCCCCATAGCCCATGGGGCGTCCCCGGGGGTGTCCCCCGCTGTGTCCCTGACCCCGCTGTGTCCCCGCAGTGTCCCCGCAGTGTCCCTGCAGTCCCGGGGGTGGCCCTGGGGGTGTCCCTGTGTCCCTGACCCCGCTGTGTCCCCATGTCCCTGACGCAGTCCCTTGGGTGTCCCCGCTGTGTCCCCGTGTCCCTGACCCTGCAGTGTCCCCATAGCCCATGGGGTGTCCCCGGGGGTGTCTCCCGCTGTGTCCCTGACCCCGCTGTGTCCCCGCAGTCCCTGGGGTGTCCCCGGGGGTGTCCCCGGGCTGTCCCCCGCTGTGTCCCTGACGCCGCGGTGTCCCTGCTGTGTCCCCATAGCCCATGGGGTGTCCCCTTCTGTGTCCCCGTGTCCCTGACCCCGCTGTGTCCCCACAGTCCCTGGGGGTGTCCCCGGGCTGTCCCCCGCTGTGTCCCTGACGCCGCGGTGTCCCCTGTGTCCCCAGCTCGGAGGCGGGCCCCGATTTCGAGCTGCGGCTGGAGCTGTACAGCGCGGGGCTGCCCGGGGGGGCGCAGGGCAGCACCCCCAAAAGGCTGGCCACGCGCCTCGGCAGCTCCCTGGGCCGCGCCTCGGGCCGCCGGGCACGGGCAGCCACCGAGGGGACACCGGGCAGCCCCCCGGGCACCGGCGGCACCGGCACGCTGCTACCGCCGCCCGGCGTGCCGTGAGTACCGCTGGGTGTCATTGTGTGTCGCTGTGTGTCACTGTGTGTCACCTGTGTGCCCCCCTGTGTGTCCCATGTGTGTCATCTATGTGCCACTGTGTGTCACTGTGTGTCACCTGTGCCCTGTGTGCCACTGTGTGTTCCTGTGTGTCACTGTGTGTCACTGTGTGTCCCCTGTGTGCCCCACTGTGTGCCCCGTGTCCCCCTGTGTCCCCGCCATGTCCGTGTCCCCAGTGTCCCCAGTGTCCCCTGTCCCATCCCAGGTGTCCCCAGTGTCCCCAGTGTCCCCTGTCCCATCCCAGGTGTCCCCAGTGTCCCCAGTGTCCCCTGTCCCATCCCAGGTGTCCCCGGTTCCAGCTGCTGGCGCACGCCGCGCTCTCCCTGGCCCAGGTGCACGACGGGTTCCGCACCCACGACCTCGTCATCGCCGCCGACGGTCAGTGGGGCCCGGGCACCCCAAACAGCCCGGGGCGCCCCATAGACACCCCGGGGCACCCCAAAACAGCCCATAAACACCCCAAAACACCCCAAAACAGCCCATAAACACCCCAAAACAGCCCATAAACACCCCATAAACACCCCAAAACAGCCCATAAACACCCCAAAACAGCCCATAAACACCCCATAAACACCCCAAAACAGCCCGGGGCACCCCAAAACAGCCCATAAACACCCCATAAACACCCCAAAACAGCCCGGGGCACCCCAAAACAGCCAGGGGCACCCCATAAACACCCCGGGGCACCCCAAAACAGCCCGCAACACCCCAAAACACCCCATAAACTCCCCAAAACATCCCGGGGCATCCCTAAACACCCTGTGACACCCCACAAATACCCCATGGCATCCCGAAACACCCCATAAACACCCCCAAACAGTCCAGGGCACCCCTAAACACGCCAAAACAGCCCGGGGCATCCCTAAACACCCCAAAACATCCCTAAATACCCCATAAACACCCCACGGCACCCCAAAATAGCCCATAAACACCTCATAAACACCCCACGGCACCCCAAAACAGCCCGGGGCACCCCTAAATACTCTGTGACACCCTGGAACACCCCATAAACACCCCATGGCACCCTATAACACCCCTAAACACCTCATAGCACCCCAAAACACCCTATAACACCCTGTAACACCCCATAAACACCCCATGGCACCCCATAACACCCCAAAACTCCCCACACACCCCATGGCCCCCCCAAACAGGGCAATGGGGCTGGAACAGAGGAGTCAGGGGGTCCAGGATTTGGGGGGTCCGGGATTTGGGGGGTCTGGGATTTGGGGGTCCGGGATTTTGGGGGTCTGGGATTTTGGGGGTATGGGATATATGGGATATAGGGGATATAGGGATATGGGATATATGGGATATAGGGGATATAGGGATATGGGATATATGGGATATAGGGGATATAGGGATATGGGATATATGGGATATAGGGGATATAGGGATATGGGATATATGGGATATAGGGGATATAGGGATATGGGATATATGGGATATAGGGGATATAGGGATATGGGATATATGGGATATAGGGGATATAGGGATATGGGATATATGGGATATAGGGGATATAGGGATATGGGATATATGGGATATAGGGGATATAGGGATATGGGATATATGGGATATAGGGGATATAGGGATATGGGATATATGGGATATAGGGGATATAGGGATATGGGATATATGGGATATAGGGGATATAGGGATATGGGATATATGGGATATAGGGGATATAGGGATATGGGATATATGGGATATAGGGGATATAGGGATATGGGATATATGGGATATAGGGGATATAGGGATATGGGATATATGGGATATAGGGGATATAGGGATATGGGATATATGGGATATAGGGGATATAGGGATATGGGATATATGGGATATAGGGGATATAGGGATATGGGATATATGGGATATAGGGGATATAGGGATATGGGATATATGGGATATAGGGGATATAGGGATATGGGATATATGGGATATAGGGGATATAGGGATATGGGATATATGGGATATAGGGGATATAGGGATATGGGATATATGGGATATAGGGGATATAGGGATATGGGATATATGGGATATAGGGGATATAGGGATATGGGATATATGGGATATAGGGGATATAGGGATATGGGATATATGGGATATAGGGGATATAGGGATATGGGATATATGGGATATAGGGGATATAGGGATATGGGATATATGGGATATAGGGGATATAGGGATATGGGATATATGGGATATAGGGGATATAGGGATATGGGATATATGGGATATAGGGGATATAGGGATATGGGATATATGGGATATAGGGGATATAGGGATATGGGATATATGGGATATAGGGGATATAGGGATATGGGATATATGGGATATAGGGGATATAGGGATATGGGATATATGGGATATAGGGGATATAGGGATATGGGATATATGGGATATAGGGGATATAGGGATATGGGATATATGGGATATAGGGGATATAGGGATATGGGATATATGGGATATAGGGGATATAGGGATATGGGATATATGGGATATAGGGGATATAGGGATATGGGATATATGGGATATAGGGGATATAGGGATATGGGATATATGGGATATAGGGGATATAGGGATATGGGATATATGGGATATAGGGGATATAGGGATATGGGATATATGGGATATAGGGGATATAGGGATATGGGATATAGAGAAATAGGATATAGGAATGGGATAGAGGGATGGGAGAGAGGAATGGGATAGAGAAATGGGATGTAGGGAAATGGGATATAGGGATGGGATAGAGGATAGAGGGATGGGATAGAGAAATGGGATGTAGGGAAATGGGATATAGGGAAATGGGATATAGGGATATATGGGATATAGGGATATGGGATATAGAGAAATAGGATATAGGAATGGGATAGAGGGATGGGATAGAGAAATGGGATATAGGAATGGGATAGAGGAATGGAATGTAGAAATGGGATGAGCTGCATAAACACCCCCACAATAACAGGGACTCTGTGGGATATAGGGATATGGGATATAGAGAAATAGGATATAGGAATGGGATAGAGGGATGGGATAGAGAAATGGGATATAGGAATGGGATAGAGGAATGGAATGTAGAAATGGGATGAGCTGCATAAACACCCCCACAATAACAGGGACTCTGCAGCTGCAGGTGAGGGAATGGGGTGGAGGGAATGGGATTGGGAATGGGATAGAGGGATGGGATGTATGTACCACTGTGCCCAGGACCAGGGCAGGGAGAGGGAGAGGGAGAGGGAGAGGAAAGGGGATGAAGACAAGGATGGGACAGGGACAGGAATGGGAGCAGGATGGGAACAGGGTGAAGGACAGGAACAAGGACAGCGATGGGAATGGACAAGGATAAGATAACAGGGGTGGCTGGAGAAATGGGGACAAGGACAAGGATGGCTCTCTCTTTGGGCTCTCAGGGACAAAGATGGGCATGGGATGTGTGTCCCCTGTCCCATCCCAGGTGTCCCCGGTTCCAGCTGCTGGCGCACGCCGCGCTCTCCCTGGCCCAGGTGCACGACGGGTTCCGCACCCACGACCTCGTCATCGCCGCCGACGGTCAGTGGGGCCCGGGCACCCCAAACAGCCCGGGGCGCCCCATAAACACCCCGGGGCACCCCAAAACAGCCCATAAACACCCCAAAACAGCCCAAAACAGCCCGGGGCACCCCAAACAGCCTGTGACACCCCATAAACACCCCGGGGCACCCCAAACAGCCCATAAACACCCCAGGGCACCCCAAAACAGCCCGGGACACCCCAAAACACCCCATAAGCACCCCAAAACATCCCGGGGCATCCCTAAACACCCTGTGACACCCCACAAACACCCCATGGCATCCCAAAACACCCCATAAACACCCCCAAACACCCCAAAACAGCCCGGGGCATCCCTAAACACCCCAAAACACCCCTAAATACCCCATAAACACCCCAAGGCACCCCAAAACAGCCCGGGGCACCCCTAAATACTCTGTGACACCCTGGAACACCCCATAAACACCCCATGGCACCCTATAACACCCCTAAACACCCCATAACACCCCTAAACACCTCATGGCACCCCCAAACAGGGCAATGGGGCTGAAACAGATGGGGAGGAGTTGGGGGGTCTGGGATTTGGGGGTCCGGGATTTGGGGGTCCGGGATTTTGGGGGGGTCCCTCCATGTCCCCGCCGTGTCCCCCCAGACCACAGTCTCTGCCGGGGGTTTGGGGTCCCTCCATGTCCCCGCCGTGTCCCCGTGTCCCCCCAGAGCAGAGCCCCTGCTGGGTGCCCCTCTATGGCCGCATGTGTTGCCGCTTGGCGGCCCGGCCCCGCTGCATGGACACCCCCGCAGCGACAGGGACACTGCGGCTGCAGGTGAGGGACACCGGGGGACACCGGGAGGGGCACCGGGAGTGGCACCGGGAGTGGGAGAGGGGGTGGGATGGAGGGCTGGGATCAGGAATGGACAGAGGGGTGGGGTTTTGGGGTTTATTAACACTGCCCTGGTAAAGGGACACTGCGACTGCGGGGGAGGGAACGGGATAAACGGGATATGGGGGAATAATGGATAGAGGGGAATAATGGGATAGAGGGATGGGGTATAGGGAAATGGGGTATAGGGAAATGGGATAGAGGGAAATGGGAAATGGGATATAGGGAAATGGGGTATAGGGATGGGATAGAAAAATGGGATAGAGGAATGGATAGAGAAATGAGATATAGGGAAATGGGATATAGGGAAATGGGATATATGGATGAGATAGAAAAATGGGATATAGGGATGGGAGAGAGGAATGGTATAGAAAAATGGCATATAGGGAAATGGGATATAGGGAAATGGGATATAGGGAAATGGGATATAGGGATATATGGGATATAGGGATAGGATATAGGATAGAGGGATGGGATAGAGAAATGGGGTATAGGAATGGGATGAGCTGCATAAACACCACCGCAATAACAGGGACTCTGCAGCTGCAGGTGGGGGAATGGGGTAGAGGGAATGGGATTGGGAATGGGATTAGGATACTGGGAATGGGATTGGGAATGGGATTGGGAATGGGATAGAGGGATGGGATGTATGTACCCCTGTGCCCGGGACCAGGGCAGGGACAGGGACAGGGACAGGGAGGGGAAAGGGGATGAGGACAAGGATGGGACAGGGACAGGAATGGGAGCAGGATGGGAACAGGGTGAAGGACAGGAACAAGGACAGTGATGGGGGTGGACAAGGATGGAGATGGGGACACAGATAACAGGGATGGCTGGAGAAATGGGGACAGGGAAGCTCTGGGGGTTTCTGGGGGCTGTGGGGTCTCTGGGCTCTTGGGGGTCTCTGGGGCTCTCTGGGGTGTTGTGGGGTCTTTGGGCTCTCAGGGTCTCTGGGGTTCTCTGGGCTCTCTGGGGGTCCCTGGGCTCTCTGGGGGTCCCTGGGGGTCTCGGGGGTCTCTGGGCCCCCTGTGGCCCGCCCCCAGCCCTGCCGGTGCCGCAGGACACGCGGGTGCGGGCGCTGGAGGGGGGGGCCCGCGGGCAGCCCCCCGGGGTGGCTGTCACCAACCGGCTGGGCGGGGAGGAGGTGACACACGCGCTGCTGGCCGAGAGCCCCGGCGAGGCACAGCGCTGGCTGCAGGCCTTCGGGCAGCACCTCTGCGACCTGGGTGAGCCGGGACCCCCGGGACCCCCCCCCCGACCTGCGGGAGCCCCCACCACCCCTGAGAGACCCTGCCCTGTGGGACCCTCCCGGCCCTGTGGGACCCTCCGTGCTGGTGGGACCCTGTCCCCGTTGTTAAGGGACCCCAAACCTAGTGGGACTTCCTCATCCCTATGGGACCCCCACCCTGGCAGGACCCCCGACCATTCCTGCGGGATCCCATCACCCCAGGACCCCCAACCCAGTGGGACCCCAGAGAAATGGGGACAAGGACAAGGATGAGAACAGGACAGGGACGGGGACAAAGACGGGCATGGGGACAGTGACATGGGTGGGGACAAGAATGGGGCAGGACCGAGATTGGAAGGGACAGGAACAAAACCCCCTGGGAGACCCCCACCCTGGACCATCCCTGTGGGATCCCATCACCCCAGCACCCCCAACCCAGTGAGACCCCAGTCCTGAGAGCGCCCCCATTCCTGCGAGACCCCCACTCCAGACTGACCCCCCAATGGGACCCCCTCCCCCTGCAGCCCCCTCCGCGCGGCACGGGGGGGCTCCCCGCGCCCCCGGCCCCCCCCCGTGGCTCTCGCTCTTCGAGGGGCCCCCCCTGCGCAGCCCCAGCCCCCCCCGCCGCCGAACCCTGTCCCTGGACGCCCGGCTCAGCACCCTGAAAGGCCGGGGGGGCCCCCCAAAACCCCCCCAGTCCAGCTCCTCCAGCAGCGGCAGCAGCAGCCCGGGACCCCCCCGGCGCGACCCCCCCAGAGCCCTCCAGTCCCGGGTGTGACCCCCAGCACTTTTGGGGAGGGGGGAAAGGGGGGATAACCCCCCCCCAGGGGGGTTGTGGGGGTGGGGGGTGCTCCCTGCTTCTGTTTTTTGGGGAGAAACTGGAATTTGTGCCCCCCCCCGTGCTGGGGGGGCGCAGGGCTAAACTCCAAAAAGGGGGGGGGGCGGTTTCCTTCCCCCCTGCCAAAGGTGGGTGTTGGGGGACCCCCCCCACCGCAGGGTGGGTGCTCAGGGTCTAACCCGGGGGGGGACACAGAGCCCCCCCAGCTCTGCTTTCCCTCACCTCTAACCCGGGGGGGGGACACAGCTCCCCCCCCTCCGGCAGACCCCCCCAATTAATAATATTCACTAATAATTTGCATTAAAATTTATTTAACAGCTGCTGTGTGTGATTTTGGGTGGGGAGGGGGCGTGGGGGTCCCTGTGCCCGAGTGGGGGGGGGTCCGTGCCCTCCCATCCTGTGCTGCCACCAGCGGGGGGGGGTCTTGGGGCGCTGCCCCCTCCCCAAGCTGCTCTTTTGGGGTGCAAGGGGGGGTGGAGGCTGTGCTGGGGGATGAGGGGGAGGGGGTGTCCGTCCTGGGTGCTGTGGTGCCATAGGGGCCCCCATCTCCCCGTACCTGCCCCGGGGGGGGTCCCGGCTCCCAGGGGGCCTCCCAGCCCCCTCCCCACTCGTGCCCCCCGATTCCATTGCGCCCCAAATCCTGAGGGTCCCGCACGGGGCGGGGGGGGCCGGGGCTGTGCAGGGGAGGCCCTGCCGGGGGTGTTGGGGACCCCTCCCGCGGGCTGGGGACATCCTGAAGCAGCGGCCCCAGAGATTCCCAGGCTGGGGGGCTGGGGAGGGGGGGAGTGTCCGGGAGGGGCCCCTCCCCATCCCGGGGGGGGCTGGGGGGAGACCCCCAGCCGGGAGCGCTGGAAGGAGGGAGGGGCTCTACCCCACAAGTGCTTTCACAAGACCCCGGCCCAGAGGGGACAGGGGGGACCCCCATCCGGGGGGGGCTGGGAGGGGGCCCAGACATGGCAGGGGGGGACCCTGAGCTGGTGATGGCAAAGTTGGGGGTCCCCAAGGTGGAGGAGGGAGGGGTCCCCGCTCCCAGGGGGCTGGAGGGGGTGGCAGTGGTGGCACATTGTGGGGTGGCCGTCACCACGGGGCTGGGGGGGCTCCCGGGGGTGGCAGGTGGAGGGGTCCCTGTCCCCGGGGGGGTGTGGAGAGTCCCGGTGGTGGCACATTGGGGGGTCCCTGTCCCCGCAGGGCTGGTGGCATGGGGGGACCCTGCTCGGGCTGGGCTGACGGGGGTCCCCAGGGTGCCACACTGTGGGGTCCCTGTCCCCACAGGGCTGACGGGGGTCCCCAGGGTGCCACACTGTGGGGTCCCTGTCCCCGCAGGGCTGGTGGCATGGGGGGACCCTGCTCGGGCTGGGCTGGGGGGCGTCCCCAGGGTGGCAGAGGGAGGGGTGCCCCTCCCCATGGGGCTGGCGGGGGTCCCGCTGGTGGCACTCTGGGGGGTCCCTGTCCCCGCGGGGCCGGGGGGCAGAGGCGGCGGCGGCCGGCGGGGGCTGGGGGGCGGTGCCCCCCTGGGGGCGCCGGGCGGGGGGCTCTGGAGGGGCTCCGGCCGGCGGAAGATGAAGGCGGATTCCGTCAGGCTGCGCTGGTACCGCAGGAAGGGCCGGCGGGCACCTGGCGGGGGCGAGCGGTTAGCAGGGACCCCCAGAGCCCCCCGTGCCCTCCAAGGCTGCCACGGCACCTACCGGGGGTGCTGCCGGGCACGGGGGACGCGGACGTGGAGCCCGAGCGCTCCCGCTGCCGGAAGAATTCCCGGGGGTTCTGGGTGCGCTGGGAGACCAGGATTGCGGCTTCCTGCGGGACCGGGGGGTCAGCGGGGGTGGCACGGGGCACCGTGGGGCACCACGGCGGGGCCAGTGTCCCTGTGACCCCCCGGGGCAGGGAGGGACACGGTCCCGGCACTCACGGCCGCCGTCCCGCTGAGCCCGGTGCGACCCCCGCGCTCCCGCTCGGCCGCCTCCTGCTCCCGCTGCTGCTGCTCCTGCGGGACACGGCGGCCATGGGAAACGGATCCCTCGGGATGGAGCCTGGATCCCTTGGGATGGAGCCCTGGGTGCCCCGGGAGAGGGCCCTCACACCTCCCCGGGTCAGAACCCGTCCCGCATCCCCCTGCAACAGATCTGTGTCCCTTGTGATGGGATCCCGCTCGATCCTGCAGGATGGACCCCCCGATCCCCCGGGATGGACACCCCGGATCCCCTGCGATGGACCCCCGGATCTCCTGGGATGGACACCCCGATCCCCCGGGATGGACCTCCGGCTCCCCCGGGATGGACCCCCGGATCCCATGGGATGGACACCCCGATCCCCTGGGATGGACACCCCGGATCCCCCGGGATGGACCCCCGGATCCCCCGGAATGAGCCCCTTCAGATCGCCCAGGACGGACACCCAGAACTCTCTGAACCCCCTGGGATTGACCCCCCGGGATGAGCCCTAGACTGCCCGGGATGGAGCCCCCGTGTCTCCCAGGACAGACCCCCCCGATTCCCCTAGACCCCCCCCCCCCCACCACCACCCCCCCTCCCCACCCCCCCACC